GAATGCTACATATATGAGTACGTTCTTCTCAGTCCTTTATGTCATGGGGTATATGTCAGTAAGTCTGAGAAGTGGTGGTATTAAAGTGATGCTCACTGTGGTTCTTGGTTAGAGTAGTGACTACCAGATTCTTCCATTATAAAGGTGGGCTTTGCAATAATTTGAGAGCTGACCATTCCAGTCTGCATAAATACCAGGTTTCCCCAACTGTTTTGCCCAAAAGTTTTAGTACCTGTTTAAGATCTTGACCTGGTGTTGTCCTGGGTTTTTTCTTTTTGACCCCTTTTTTTTTTTTTTTTTGGCAGTCAACAACCACAGCTATCAATTTTTTTTCCAAAGAGTCCTGGAGCTTGCTGTGATTCCAACCATAAACGAGAAAAAGCACCTTAGAGGTACCAGCAGTTAGCGTAATGGCTATGTCGCTGGACTCCCAGGTAGTTGACGGCAGTGTGAGTCCCAGACCCGGTGGCTTAAATTCATGCCGGGAGTGTGTGCCTGCGTGCCCTAGATCCCGAGAGGAAAAAGTATATATATATATATATATCACCACAGAATCACCCTTATCTCTGCGGGTGGGACCTACCCAGGCCTATTTTGACTCACATTCAGTTAGGGTTGAGCTTCTCCAATCACAAACCTTTACAAAACCCACATTTTTGCAAATAAGGAAATTTAGGTCTGAAGAGGTTAAACAACTGACAATGGCACAAAACTTAATGGCAATAGTTAAGATTTTACTTTAATCGATTTGCACTGTAATATGCCATTCCTTCGACATGTCAGTCAAACAAAAACACTACGAACATGAGTAAACTCTGTATCTGTTAGAGATGACCATCGCCTTAAGTATGCTGCCACCAGACGTGCATATTTCTGCTTTCAAGCTTAGTGATGCCTTTCGTTCACCACACCTTCGCTGTCACTTTAGGTGAGAGGAGCGTTAAGTCATCAGCTCTTCTGCACTCAATATTCACCCAGACAGCTCAAGCCTCGGGGCAACCCACAGCAGAGCCCGACTTTCAGGGGACAGATGGTTACAGCTGCGGCCAAGGCACCGGACCTCACCCAGCCCACTCTGCACCTGCCAGGGCCTGCTCCGGGGGGCCGCTCGTACGGCACCTGGCCGCGCGCAGGACGCACCTGGAGGCACGCCCCTTTCCCGCCCACGGACAGCCAGACAAGCACCGGAACTGGAGATCTGAAGCTGCAGGCCCAGCCACCCCCCACTTACCCCAGCATGATAAACTTTATTTGCTCTTTTAATCTTGATGTCCAGGGAGGTCCCCATCTCGGATTCTCCGCAGCAGCCGGCACTTCCGGCCGCGCGTGACCCGAGGGGAAATAAGGGTCGCCCCGACCCCGCCCCTTTTCCCTCTCCTGCAGCAATGACGTTACGTGACCCCGCACCCTACGTCGATCCGTTATTCCGTGCGCGGAGAGGGCGTACGCCCCACACGTTCCTTTTTCCGGCGCAGAGGCGTGTCTTAGCGCGGGCAGAAGGGACATCACGCTTCGCCCCGCCCCTTCCGTAAGGACCGTCTTGCCGGATACATTCCCTTCTCCCTCGTTTGGGGGAGGGAGGGAGGAGCTCTCGGCTCTCCCGGGGTGCCGCGCGGCTGGGGGCGGCGCCGAGGCCGTTTCTCCGGGGCAGGTGCGCTGGAAAGCTGAGGCTCCCGTCAGACTGTGCGGCGCAGAGGGGGGGGTGGGAGTGGGACTGTGAAATTGGCTTTCCGGAGGGCCTGACTTGGGAATGTGTTCCTTCTCCAGATCTCCTTCCTCTCTACCCCTGTCTTACGCCCTCTCTTCTTCGCGTTCTGAGGAGCCAGCCCGCCCTTTGTCCGTTCCCAGCCCGGCGTCGCTCCCTGCCCTTCCCGCGGAAACAATCCCCTGTGCCCCCAAAGCTGCGGCCCCGCCTCCCGGCCGTGCAAAGCGCTGATTGGCGGGCGGCCCGGCTGCCCCGCCCCCGGGCTTGGGGCCAAGGTCGCGGAAAGCGCGGGGTGACCTCGCTGGGCTCAGAGCTGCGGCGCTTGGTCACCTGCCAGCCCTGCTTCGTGTGCCGCGGGGGGTTGTGGGAATTCCCTAGGCGCGTGTCCTGGAAGCGGGTGTTGAGTATTCAGGTCCGTGTGCCCGGTCCCGGCTACGCAGAACGTGGGGAGGCGCGTTTCGCGAGCCCGGGGCGCGGAGAGCGGTGGGAAATGGAAGACTCGAAGTTGAAATGAACCTGCATGTTCATTTTATTCTCTGCAACAGCTGACAGTGGTAGACACACGATAAATACTGGATTGGCGGGGGATACTGCTTCCACGTTGGGCAGTGTTAGGGTACGTTTATTTTAACTAAAACTAAGGGCTTTTCCAGTAAGCACATGGTCACAATTTAACATTTTGATAACTGATTTAAATAATGCAGTGTTTTGTTTCTTTAAATTCCTTGATTCTGGTGCTATTTTTTAAAAGTACATAAATTTTGGGGGATCCGAAATTCTCTGTTAAAGATTTTATGAATTACTATCACACATGCTCCCCTCTTGAAAATTTAATGTGTTTTGTAAGTCATTAATGATGGTACTATGCTACAGTTGTTTTTGAAGGTGGATAAATGTGGTATTTCCCAATATTCAGGTCTCAGTTTTTAGCTCCTCACTGCCCTCAGGGTTCTGTCTCCAATATCTTCTGGCAACTCAAACACAGCAGTTCTAGAACAATTCGTTAGGGACTTAATTACAGTCTATGGGACCAGCAGGTGGTGTGGTGGTTAAGGCGCTGGACACTCCCACATGGCTGACCAGGGTTCAAGTCCTGAATCTGGTGGCTTGCTTTCTCACTTCCTCTCTCTCATTCTCACCCTCTGTCTCTCTCTGGTCAAACTAAAAAATGAATGAATGAATGAATAAATAAAATAAAATAAATAATTATTAAAAAAATAATTATAGTCTAGTCTACAATTGAAGAAGTGTATTCCTTTTCACCAGATACACTTGTCATTTTCAAGTGGTTAAAAAAAAAAATCTTAGGGACCAGCAGTTGGCGTAATGGGTCTTGTCGCTGGACTCCTATGTAGCCAACCTCGGTTCGAGTGCTAGACTGGGTGGCTTAAACTCACGCCGGCTGTGTGTGCCTGCGTGCTCAAGATGCCTAGAGGAGCAGGGATTGCTGCGTGGTCATCCCCCCTTGGGGATGATTTCTCACTTTCTGTCTCTCTGGCGAGTGTACGTGTCCTATAGCTAAAACATCTCAAAAAAAAAAAAAATTCAATCTTAGTAAACAATGCAGGGAGGCAGAAAAGGAAACAACCTTGCAGGTGTCCACATTGTGAACTTACTCCAGCAAACCTACTTTCTACAGAACATTTCTTGTTCCTCTAGGACGAGTGTCCCATATCTCACCTGTCTTTGTGGGTTGTGTAAAATATAGAAGGTTGGAGCAGTGCAAAGAGCTTTGGTTCTAGCAATTATCAGCATAATTAGTGTCGAGCCATCTCTGCATGATGGCTTTCAAACTTACACAGTTCATTTTTCTCCAGTACCAATCTTTTTTTTTCTTTTTTTGGAGAGGTTTTTGCTATAGGGCACATGCGCTCACCAGACAGACAGAGCTAGAAAGCGAGAAATCCCCCCCAGGGGCGATGGCCACGCTGCAATCCCTTCTCCTCCATTCTCCTCTCGGCATCTTGGGCACACACGCACACGCGTCCAGCGTGAGTTTAAGCCACTGGGTCTGGGACTCAAACCGTGGTCAACTACATGGGAGTCCAGTGACATAGTCATTACGCTAACTGCTGGCCCCTCCAGTACCAATCTTTTTCATCTTTTTCACCTCTTCATGATATCTTAGGCGATACCTTAATTTGGAGTCAATTTCAATTACTATATCAAGGTATCAATATCAAGACTTCAGTGGAGATAGGAAGGCACAAGTCTGGTTCTGGTTCTAGCTCTCAACATGTTCTCTACGTTATCTCTTCAAGGCCTGGCTTCTGTAATGAAGCAAGGAAACAGTAAATGAGGCAAGTATTAGCTGACTATTGCTGGAATCCACTTAGTTAATCCTTGCTCTTCTGCATAACTGCTATGGTCCTGTACTCTCCCTGAGCACAGATGGGAAGACCTGGAGTGCTCTCTACCCCTATACAGTTCTGTGAGACCAGTAGCTCAAGCTTGATCTTTCCCATTACCCCACCGCCAGCACCTAGCAATACACTCAGTCTCTTAGATGAGGTTACCAGCAAAGCACCTGAAGATTATCTTTTAGAAGGTCTACTTGACCCACAAGAAATACACATTTTTAGTCTAGCTGTTGTGGCTGGTGCAGCCCAGTTTTGAATCCCAGTCCAACTTGAAGGCCAGGTGTGGTAGCGCATGCTTGTAATCCCAGCAACTCAGGAGGCTGAGGCAGAAGGATTGCTACACAGCAATGCCCTATCTTTAAAAAAAATGAAGGAAAGAAATATACATCCTTGCCACACAAAAAGGCTGGACTGAAGACTGTCCTATAGCCACACCTCTCTACCTTGCCATCCATCTTCAGTGTTTGTTCCCTTCTGAAATACAGACAGGGCTAAATTGGCAACAACACTGGCAGAAAGAACTGCCAGCAATGAAAGAAATACCAGCCTCCTTTCTCAGGCCTCACCGATAGCTCGAAAAGATAATTTTAAACCTCCCTCCTTCCCTACCCTGGCTCCAGGTCTCTAGATGTTGCAGTCAAGATGTTATACATGCCTACGATCATCTGAAACGTTGTAAGGCTGGAAGAACCCCTTCCAAGATTGCTCCCCAACTTGACTGATGTCACTAGCCTCGCATCCTCCCCATAGGCTGCTTGAGAGTCCTCACAATATGGCAGCTCACTTCTCCTAAACCTTACAATCCAAAAGAGAGAGAGCGGGGTTGTAGTGCCTTATATGGCCTAGTCTCTGGTCTCCATCCATTTTTATTTGTTGGAGGAGAATCACTAAATCCAGCCCACACTCGGGAAGGAAATTTGACTACATTTAGAAGATAGCATCAAAGAATTTAGGGACACATTTTAACCCACTGTACTTCCCACTGATTGGGGACTTACTATGATTGTATCACTGTTCATTCATCTTCTTCCTCTGTCCAGTCCTCCTTCCCATACCCCACCCCTCCACACCTGTTGACCCAGAGAGCATGATACAATAAACTTTCTGCACATTAATCTTCATTTCAGAATCTACTTACCAGAACCTACTTGCAACAATCCTGCTAAACTAGCTCCCTTAATGTCTCATACTAATCCTCAAAACAACCTTATGATGTAGGAACAATTACTATTTCCTCATCTTACAAAAGAAAAAAAATGAGGCTTGGAAAAGTTAATGTACTTGGCCAAGTGCATATGACAACTTAATGATGCCCATCCATTCTCCCCCCCCCCCTCATTTTTCCAGAGGTCGTGTGTGCTTGCCAAAGAAAGAGCTGGGAAAATGAAAACAGAGCCCCTCTCCTCTGGCCCCCATGGATAATGGTCATGCTGCAGTCCCTTCCATTTCTCCCTCCATTTGGGTTTTGAGCACACAGGCATATGTACCTGGAAGGTTTTTCAAGCCATGGAGTCAGGGACTCAAACTGCATAGTGGGCCAACTTAACCATCCACACCACCTACTGGCCTTATTCATTCTACCTCCAGAACTCACATAGGCAACTGCTGATCACCATGCTACTTATGTGCGTACAACATATGCCTGGATGCATAATGAGACCATGATCTTAATTGTAAGACTATACAAAGGACTTGTCAATCAAACATGAAAATCAAGCAGGGGTGCAATGTGAGTCAGCGGGATTTTTTTTCCAGGTTTTTGCTGTAGGGTGCGTGTATTCACCAGAAAGAGAGAGATACAGAGAGAATAGGAAAGTAGAAATCACCTCCCCTGGGAAATGGCCCTTCTCCTCCATTCTCCCTTTGGGATTTTTGGGCACCCACACACTCGCGCCAGGCATGTTTCTTAAGGTGCCAAGACTTGGACTGCTGAGTCAGCTATGTGAGATCCAGCACCTGAACCACCATGCCATATGCCACCCCATCATGGCAATTTTAAGAGAGATTTTTGCTATAGGGCATGTGCACTCACCAGAGAGGAGAGACAGAAAGCAAGAAATCACTCCCTAGGGGGGATGGTCATGCCATAATCTCTTCTCCATTCTCCTCTCGGGATTTTGGGCACGCACACACACGCACCCAGCGTGAGTTTGAAGCTACCAGGTCCAGGACTCGAACCGTGGTTCATTTGGGAGTCCAGTGACATAACCATTACGCCACATCAATGGAAATTTTTTAAAAAGGAAAAGAGGTCATTTTATCAACTGATAGTGAAGACAATATTAAAACCATCACAGAGTAACATAGTGTATGAATTTGTTAGGGCTGCCATGACAAAGTACCACAACTGAGTGGCTTAAAACAAGAGATTTATTTTCTTGTAATT